AAATTGGTTGGCTTAACCGCAGCCAGTAACTTAGACTGTCAAGAAAACTCTTGTTTTTGGACTCAAACGCTACAAGAAGTGATTCTACTAGCCCACTGCTTAAAACACTTCCTGCCAGTGGCCTTTTAAATAACTTTCTGTGATCTTTGTATTGTGTTTATGGTGTATTGTTATGCTGATGGTTATGTTGGTTATGCGTTTACTGCTGGCTGTACAACAAATTGCCCTTTGTGGATAATAAAGCTATCCTTGATCCTGTTGAAATATCTCCCCTACTGAGCAGGTCGGCAGCATCGTCTCTGCTGAAGGAATCACAGAGACTTGTGATGGCTAATGAAACTTTTATCTTGTGTGTCACCTTCCGAGTAGTTATAAGTCCAGTCTTTGTGGGCTTAGTTAATTGGCCGCAGCTGATGCCAGAAAACTTTGATGTGTTATTCTTGTCTTGTTGTACCTTTTAATGTTGTTCCTTGCTGTAACCAGAGCCCGGCAGCCTCTGAGCAGCTGCCAGTGATGTTGAATGTGTTGCTGCAGGGACTGTAAACATGTCACTACCATCCAACTCAGACAGCCAGACTGACTGTACATTGCACAGACATTCTTTGATCTGAGTATAGATAGTGTTTGTCTATTTGTACTTTGTCCAGAAAATGTTGGTCTGTACTAAACTTATACTGATTCATAGGGTATTGATATTCATGGATGAAACTTTGTTGTGAGTTCCAGGCCTGCTAACTCAAGTGGTATGAAAAAGAGGATAGTTCAGAAACTGTAAATTGTAAATATCTTTGGGTTTTGGACTGTTGGTCCGAAAAGTTATTTGGAGATGTGACTTCAATCTCTGGGAAACTGTGGAGGGTAAATCAACATACATCAACAAAAATAACTGTTGCAACCCTAATCATTTTCTCAGTTTTTTTTCGCCTGTGTGGGTGAATAATTTCAAGTGCTTTTAGTCCAAAAAGCTGCTTAGCCACTTTTTGCTTTTAGTTGGCTCTATTTGGACAATGTAGTGTTAATGTAGTTCAGTTAAACAACAACATTAACCCTAACAGCAGCTGGAAACAAAGGTGGTTATATGCTTATGCCACTATATGTAAATGTTATTGGATTATCTCATATTTCAAATAACTCTCATGTCATATCACTCAACCCTAATTAACAACCAGCTATGTTGCACTCGATGCAAATTTAAGCACTGCACAAAAACAAACATACAAACCTGTAGGAGGTGATGTACTGTAATGTTCTTCCTAGTGAGCTCCAGAGTGAAGGCTCTTGGACATTTTCTTGCCAGTTGCAGGCTTGCAGGCTTGCTGGACACTGGCCTCAGAGAAAACTCTGCCCTGATATACTTTGTGCCCTTGGCAAAAACTTGAGCATAGTACAGTAATGTGCTTATCTGGCTGTGACACTGTGACACGAGTTTTCCATATCAGGCCAGACAGAAGTCCACACAGACTGTGCTGGCTCTGTCTTTGGTGAGTGAAGTCTCTCCGGGCCGCGGCTGAGCTCCTCTTCCTCGCTGCCAGTTAAAGAGGCCATCTGTAAGACTTACCCGAGCTGGGGGAGGACCCGCCAGGCTCCTGATTAAAGTGATGAGCTGTAAAATCGAGAGGGAGGGGGGGCGACAGCCGGCTGCTGCCTGCTACACTGAGCTTCATCATGTCTGCTTGGAGGATGAACCTTCCCGCTCTACCTGTTTCCTCCTGTCACTGTAAATGGGTTTGTTTATGTCTACAACCTGAGACCGCTGTATGTTGGACACTTTTTCTCATTCTGCTGCCATCAATTCATCATTATCAGTGAACTGTCACGGTGTGATAACACTTAGTTTTCTTTGCTTTGAAACATTTTTTCAAACAGACTAACAAACTCTGTGTGTAAGTGTCAAATTTAATAATGTAAAGTTTGTGTCTACAAGCCCTTTGTCAAACAGCATCTGTTAGCAGGTTTTCTCCCTAGCTCTTATTATAGACGTGTAAACAGACTAATTAATCCTAATTATGTTGGAAAACACATTTTCAATAGTAAAATGAGGATAATAAAAAACTATGGCAAAACTTCAGATCCAAATTGTTAATCAGGATTTAATAACAAATCTGGCAACAGTCTTTAATTAATATAAGCTGTGTGAGTGAAGAAGGATGTTAGAGTTTAATATGATAATATGATGACTGAGAGACAGCACTTTGTGACCCAGCCTTACTCAGACGAGCCGACCTTCCATACTAATAAGAACCACAATAAACACATAAAATCGTATTTTAACATGATTAAATCTTAAAGAAAAATAAATGATTAATAATTAATAAATAGTTAATTAATCATCAGCAAAATATTGTCTTTTCTCCAGCCAGATTTGAAAAGAAACAGTGTTTGCTGTATGATTGTCACTCTCACATGCCAAACATCTAATATGAGAAAACAAAATGGCTTTGCTTATTTCAAGAAACAGACCAATCTTTAGGTACAGACTAGATTAAAACAACTATATTGTCTGTTCTTTCATGTATAAACAAGTAACAGGACATGCTGCTGTCAGTAATTTCATAGTATTTGCTCTGTTCATATAAAAAAAACAAATAAAGTAAATGTTTTTAAAAATATATCAGTGTCATTCTTTTAATATTCAGTTTTTTAAGCTTTCTCACTCAAAGTCAATTCAACTCAATCAATTCAGTGTTGGTTTCTTCTAATTATGAGCACTTTCCCTAACTTTTTCCAATTTATGTCAGGTCTAAACCACAGAGCTGGCAGAACAGAAAACACTTACACTGATCAGCCATGACATTATGACCACCTGGGCACTGACCCAGTCGTCTAGCCATCACAGTTTGGCCCTTGTCAAAGTAGCTCTAATCCTTACGCTGCCCATTTCTCTGCTTCTAACACATCAACTATGAGGACAGAATGTCCACTTGTTGCCTAATATATCGCACCCACTGATAACCAGATAGTCAGTGTTATTCACTTCACCTGGCAGTGGACATTATGTATATATGGTTTGGGCATTTATTTAAAGCAGTGACAAACCACCTATAGTATTTTGTCATTTAGGTGTGGACTTCTCGTTTGGCCAGTATGCCAGATCCAGAAATGCTCAAATCACTCTTGCAAGGCAATGAAAAACAACAATTTTATTTGTTTAAGTATGAGGATGTTGTTTGCACATGAACTTAAAATAAAATAAAAATGATGGTGTTCTCAGCATTTGAGTCAGTTGAACCATGGCATTATTTTAAAGGGTCATGAGTTGAATCACTGCAGATAAAATACCATTTAGCTTCCCATATTGTTTGTAGCTGAGCTCATATGCACAGGAATAAGGGTCTGCTTTGATTTATTTGCTCATTACTACAACTTCGATCAATCATACATGTGAAGAGTGTGACCTTCACTGTATTAAGCTCTTACATGAGGAGCAACAGCTGCAGTTTGAATGGGATTGAATTAATGTGGAAACAATATGTTGACCTTCATGTACAACACACAGTTCCTTTTTTGTCTGTCAAGTGAAGGTAAAAAAGCAAAAACAGACTTGAAATCTGATTTTAAAGGGGTGATCTAATGACATGTTGGAGAACCAGGGGGCAAGGGAAGTGGCACTCCATCGACTGGGCTGTGACAGCAGGGAGGCTGAGTGTGAAGGCAGGCGGGCCACTGTCACCCTGGGGAGTTTTAAAAGTCCTGTGCTGAGACAGCCACAGGCTCCTCTCCACTGGACTGTCTGTCATGTACAGCTGGGAGTGTGGAACCACAGCAGCCTCTCGTTGAGATCATTCCTCAGTTCTGGTGGCTCAGACACATTTTTACTGTTTGTTAGATTTCCTCCTGCATGCATATTCACATATACAAAAATGCTTACATTCCTAGATTTCCTAGAGACAGCAGAGTCATGTTGTGTCTTCAAAATCAACAAAAACAGTTGTCATACATACTCACTCCTTAGTTTAAATGATTTTTTTATTTTATTTTTTTTATTTTATTTATTTTTATGCAAACATATACCTATTTTTGTTGTCCTGTACATTCCCCATATTTTGTAGGAATACAGTTCAGCTTTTCTCTTGGCACATTTGTGCTGCTATCCTCTGAACTCTCAGCTGTTTATATTCTGACACTTGTCACTCATCTTCATAAACTCATCTCATCATCTCGTCATCTTACCCGAAGTAACCATCATCTGCAAATAATAAGGTGTTGGAGATGGAAACACATGCAAAACCATTAACAAATCACATTGCTGACATGTATGCATCCATGGAATGCCAATTACAAGCATAGAGATTTCTGTATAAATACAGGGTCACACAGTAGACATTCTAAGCTTATTTGTCAATGCTTTAATGTCAAAAACTTTTTTATCACTCTGTAGTTTTATACTATTCCTTTCAGCAATAATAACACAGCAATGCTCTGAGATCTGAGAACATGGCAGCATTTCTTAAGTCAGACAAGAAACAAACCTCAATGTTTGAAGAGAAACTAAAGGCAGAAAGTAAAATTAAGACCCAAATTGACTTCCTGGTCAAATTTGACCTCCTATACTTATTAACATAATACACGTTTTCTATTAACAACATTTTCTATTAACACAGTTTCCTGGCTACACTGTTGGCTTGTTTACAACCTGTCTTATCATCTGACTACTGGTGTTTTGTTAGAAATGATGACTAAAACTGCAAGAATAAGACTGAAATTGCAATTAACTTGAATCTTTTAAAGGCAAAAACTACAAACGTGTGGACGAAGGCTCTGTCCAGAAGTAGTCAACCCGTTTTTTTTTTTGTCAAACACAGACTGCCAGACAGATCTGCCAGATCTGCTGATGAGATAACCAGTATATTCAAAGTGTAAAGTTGTTTCTTTATGTGTGATTAGCAAGCTTAATATGTTGCTTACACTTGGCAAGTGAACATGGAGGAGACAGACAGCACAGCGTCTGTGAAAAGCATTTATGAAAAATGATTTTTTTCCCTTTTACTTTATTCCTTCAGATGTTGGGAGAGCAGTTCACGCCCCGGCACACATCACAGAGAAAGTGGTGCAGCTGTTCAGGAGTAAAAGTGAGTTTACCTTCTTGGCCTCCATCCAGCAGAAGTCCTCCACATCAGGAGTCATATTCTCCATCCACGAGTCAGAACACAGGTAATCCATCTGTAATCCTCTTCATTTTGGCCTGCAGCTTCTTTCTGCACAACTTTACTTCAACGGGTTACTGAGCTCTCTCATTTTAAATTAAACCCAGAAATGAATTCTCATCTCGCTCATAGCTGTTTGCAGATGGCTGTTGATGAGGTGTAGTAAAGCTAAGATCAGTGTGAGATTACTCCACTGCCCGTGTAAGTCAGCAGGTGATGGGAGGGCAAGTCAGTGGGTGGAGTAATGCAGCGTTTCCTCCTGTATGCTCAGGGCAAAGATAACCTTCCACGTATTGTGTCTGTAAGATGAATATGAAGCACTAAGCAATACCAAGCATGCCAATAATGTAACATTTGATTGTAGAATGCTGCATAAACAGACTTACAGCATCTCTGACTGTGGCTGTTGCACTGAAAACAAGAACATATGGCCTTGTAACAAAGCTCCGATGAACCACTAGAGTACAGAAGCAGGTACAAATCTTTTTCCTCTTAGCAATAACTTGAACATTGGTAATTTCTTCTTGGCTGTTGCAATAAAAGAAGTGTTGCAATGGACAGAATTTTGCTACAAAATGTGATGGCTGTAGGACATCATTGAGTGGCAGCAGCAAGCACTACCTCGCCCCCCACCCCCGAGAAACTGTACAACTGTGAATTGTTTTTAAAGGGCAGGCACCATTGATTTTCCTCCACTCCTCCGAAGGTAAAAGCCCTCAGTTCTGTAAAGCATGCTTTCAAAGTGAGCGTGCAAGGGAGTGTGTATATGTGTTTGCCGGGAGTCTAGACAAAGGCAAAATCATACACAATGGGAGAGTGAGAGAGAGGGCCCCTCAACTGATGAAGAGACGTGTGTAGGGAAGGCTAGTTCTCTAAAATGTAGTAAACAAAGCAACAGTTACTGCACTGCTTAGAAAAAAAACTATGTTATGCTAAATTGCAGTTGTTGTACTTCAGGTCAGGTAACAGGTTAGTTCAACCTATAATTATAATAGGTAATAATAAGCATATGTCACATAATACAGAATGACTGCTTTAATTTTTTTATATTTTTATGTGCATTTTGCTGACGATGTATGCTTTTACCTCAGTCAAGTTTTGAATGCAGGACTTTTACCTATAATGGTATATTTGTCTTTGTATTTTCTCCATTGGTGTGTATGTGCATGCTTGTGCACTAATTTGTCTTCAAGCACCTACTATACAGTAGGTTATTGAAATTGAATGTTAGCCCATGCTGCGGTTTCAAGGTGATCCTGCGAGTTGCGTTTTAGTCGGCACTCTTTCTCTGTTTCTCTCTGACAGTCTCTCTCTCGCTTTCTCTCTCACGTTAACTGCAGGCGTAATTGCCGCACAGCGGGCTGGCCAAACAACAGCTAAATGGAGCCAGGTGACTGTACTGTCCTCCTCCTTCAGGCACAATGACATGCACCATGCAGCATATGTAGCTCGGAGCAGTGCTCGGACAAAGCAAATGTTGCATTAAAGACACTCAGCCACACTCAAACACACCCAGCTGTCAAATATACTGATTCCTAAGGCAGTCTATGGCGTTTATATTGTACAGAAATAAGTGGTTGGGGTACGGTTGTTGACTTTTAAAGGATTTGTTCACCCATATTACAACAAGATGTATTTCTCTACTTACTACTGATGGTATGAAGCCATACACACATTGGCTTTTTTAAGTTTTGAGCAACAAGTCCTCAAACCAAAATGGAAAAATACACAATTTGTCATTGGCTTTTAATATGAGTGTATTCTGATCCAATGCCTCTGTTAAGAAGACAGCAATGTTGGTCAGTGTCTTCCAAAACTGTTACAAAAAGGATTTTTTCTGATTTACCGCAGCTATAATTAAAGTTTACTTAGATTTGGGCACAGAAACTAGATGGTAACTTGATGATATTTGTGAAAGGAAACATTGCTGATGAGGTGGCATACTTTTCAAACGTGGACATCTCAAAATCTCACTGTATACAGCTATCTCCATAACTTTATATACCAAATAGGTAAAAGAGAACATATGCTTTCTTTCTTGTAATTTTGGTAAACTGACTAACATTTACAGATGAAACACAGGCTATATTTTACACTATTTATTTGCGTGACAGAATATACAGTTATTTGATTTTCAAGACCTTTCGTTATCCTTCAAATATTGTGTATTGTATCATAAAGGATATACTGGATGCAAATCTAGCCCAGCCAAGCCACAGCATGCTGGAGTTATTTTGAGACGAGCTGTTGTGTGAGTCAGACTGCCACACTGCGAGTGTAATTAAATTTGGCGAGATGGACAGAGCCTTGACTGGCTCGGTGCAGACCTGTGCTCCATTGTGACCGAGGATTTGTTCTGAACCCCTGAATCCTCTCTGAAGGCCCTATTAGAGCCCTCGGCTGATGCCCATTCTTTTCCATTATAACACAGACCTCCCATTCAGCCAGCTAACAGACAGCTAGCCGTACCACTCGGCCAAATCCAATCATACATTCCTTCTCTTTCCCTTCTTTACTTCTTCATCTTTCTCTCAGCACAATCAAACCATCCTCTCTCCCCTCCCACCTCTTCTGCCAGCTCCGCTTTCCCAATATGATAATATCCTTCTCTCCTCCCTCCTCTCATCCTCCGCTCTCCTCATCCTCAAAGTGAAAACGCCTTTTGAATGCAAGCATTTCTCGTTACCCACTGCAAAAGCAGAAGAAACTTTTTTTTTTCTTCTTGTGCCCGGCACTGGGGAATAGGAGAGAAGGTTTATTGCTGCTCCACTAGGCTGAATAGAACAAAAGGAGCCTATTTCTGCCTAGCCAGCAGTTTTCTGGGTCCAAGCAACGCTCTCATTGTCAGCATGTGGCAGCAGCTTTGTGATGAACTATCTCAAAGCCCGGTCTCTCCACTACTCTTCCCACCTGAACACTTCAACACCAAAGATGCTCAGCTTGCTCCTCCAGCTGCTCTGCTCATCTGCCTCATCTGCGCCCCCCCATGCCTCAGTTCATACGCGCCTACAGGTTCTTCTCTTTTAAGGAAACATGCTGAGCCAAAGTTGACGTGTAGTGGGAGTTCCAAACGCATATAGAGTGACTTGTGGTAAAGGTTTGGGAATGTGGGTGAGAAAGCATGGCTGCAGTAATTATTTCCCCCAGTGCAGAATCATTTTCAGATGAACAGTAAATTGAACATGACCACAAGAACAACCTTTGTTTAAAACTGTAGTCCAGAATTAAAACTCACCAATTCAAGCTCCATATGTAAGGAGAAAATGTTAAATCAGTAAGTTTATGTAGTACTTAAAGTGATATGTATATAGCCTGGCCTGAATTGTACTACATTTTACATGAATAAATGTAAATGTAGCCCTGATCCAGGACCTTCATATGATATCAAACATATCACCATCCTGGGCAGCTATCAGATGGACCTTTTCAGTCACTCGAGCAGGGGTTAAAGTGGGCTGAAACAATCTGGAATGATGTTTTCGGCATCTTTGAATAATAAGTAAATAAGTCTGATTGGTAGTTTCACACATAATAATGTCTCCCATTGTCATCCCTTCCCTTCAGTGGGTAGTGTGACAATGTGTATTTCATTGGATTTCACCACAGTCTACTCACCAATTTGTTCCAGGTTTGCATCACAATTTAACTCCTTTTTCATCTGTCATTCAATTTTTTGAGGAGAGGAAAGCAGAAGAGCCGAAGAGTACAGGAAAGTATCAGCCGGAGCAACACGCTCAATTGTGCGATAAACATAAACGTAAGGTTGTTTGCAAACTGCCACTTTTTTCACTGACAGCCGTCCTCTGATCAACAATCCTCTGATCACCAATGTTCTCTAAAACTCAAATTTTTCCTGGATCACTTCATATCCACTCAATTGTTTATGGAAGCCAGTCATTTACCTCGCTCGCTGGCAGACTGGATCACTGCTGAGCAGCGTCATGCTCAGTGCTGCCACTTGTGGCTGGAAGCCATGTTCTGTGCCCTTTTTGATTTAACATACAGTAATGTATGTTGCAGGTGACTTCAATGGACATCTCTCCCTTTTCTACTAAAGTGTAGTGTCATGTTTTCATCCTTTACATTCTTACACCCACCCGACATTTTTATTCCACCTCATCAATTCTTGCTGATTACCTCACCTCTGGCGAGTTTGTATTTTCAATTTACCATAATAAAGTTTAATAGTATTATTAATTATTAGTTGAACCAGTAAGACTTTAAATCTATTGTATACCACGGTTAAACCAAAGCATTCTTGAATTTCTACAATCCTGACAAGTAAAATGTTTTCGTAATAGATGGGTCTCCTTTATGTAGATTTGGATTTCATCATTCCTTCTTAAAAGAAATCTTGTTAATCTGATGAATTAACACACAGGATCTGATTCTAACACATACATATAATAGCCTTGAAAAACAGGTGGGGTAATATAGCTTAGGAGTACTGCGATTGATTAATTTCAATGTAGAGTGTTTATCATTCTCTCATCTGTTTGTTGCTGTGCTGGGCTGCCACAGTGAATCGCTGCTCTGTTTGTCTGTGCCTGTTTATTTTATGCTTAAACTCCATCTGCAGAATGTTTCAATTTGTTTGCCCTCGTATGGGATTTGTGTGTGAATGTTACAGACAGGAAACCTGCTGGCTTCGATTCTGAACTCCTGATCTCCCCCGTGGAGGAGGGGTGAGGGATGATCTGGGCCCTCTCACCTCAGACGGATACCAGTTTCCACACTCCACTCCCTAGATTATTCTTCGGAGGTATCTGCTCTAATAAAAAGGATGCAATACAGTACAAATACTGACTAACAAAGATTTCCTCTGCTCCTTGGTTTTCCTCTGAATGCTGTGAAATAACATAGGCTGACCAAAATGACGATATTTGTTCTTCTTATCCAAAATTACAGTCTTTGTTCTGCTTATATTCAAATGGCGTTTTCCCTTAAATAATTATTTCTGGTCTGTGAAAACCATTTTGGCAAAGGTTTATATAATTGCGTGCCTTT